TGTGGGACCTTTTGGACTCACCTGCTGCCTTTGAAGCTCATGCCGCAGTGGGGGCAGGTGTAGCGTGCGTCGTGGTGCGTGGGCTCCAGGGTCCTCTTGGAGACCACCTGGGACCCGCTCTTGCCGCTGTGGGTCTGCTGGTGGCGGTACAGGCTGGAGGCGTGGCTGTAGCTCTTTCCACAGTAGTTGCAGCGGTACTGCCGCCCCTCCGGCTCGTAGTAGTCCTGATCCAAGTCCACCTCGCTGTCCAGAGGGCCGCTCCCTGCCTCCAGCAGCACCTGGGTCTCCTCTACATCCTCGTCCTCCTCATCGGAGTCTGTCTTTATCTCCACGCTCTGCTCCGTCACCTCGCAGGGATAGACCTCCTCGTACGGGGCGAAGAAGGCCTCGTCAGCCTCGATCTTAAGCTGCTCCTCTGAGAGCTCCTCCGGGTCGTCCGAGTCCTTCTTCACGCAGGAGATGGTGAACTTGGAACCGACCTCGGCCCACTTCACCACGTACTCGATAGGCTGCGTGTCGAGTTCCACGGTGATGAAGTCCGCTCCCAGAGCATCGGACTCTGACACGGTCAGCTCCGTCTCCGAGTCCTCCATCCTGAAAGGCTGAGGAGGAAGAGGAGCAGGTCAGGAGCAGGCAGACTCTCAGAACTTCCACCTGTCTGTGTTCTGGTCATCCTAAGGGTCTGGGTGGTTCCATCAGGGACTCTGATCCAGAGGAACCAATTAACCCTGCAGTTATTGCCTAAGAGTTCCCAGTTTAAGGTTCTGGAGCTGCAGACTAACCGGATCTAGGACCTGTTAGCTGGTTTTGGCTTTGATGCCTTTCCTGACCCATCGGACCGACCGATAAACAACCTGTCTGGATTCTACTGGGTCACAATAAGACGCAGCCCTTAGGAACTCCACATGGAAACCAGCCCTTTCCGAGGAGGAACCGGGAACCAGCCCTTTCCAGGGAAGAACCGGGAACCAGCCCTTTCCGAGGAAGAACCGGGAACCAGCCCTTACCGAGGAAGAACCGGGAACCAGCCCTTTCCAGGGAAGAACCGGGAACCAGCCCTTTCCAGGGAAGAACCGGGAACCAGCCCTTTCCAGGGAAGAACCGGAAACCAGCCCTTTCCGGGGAAGAACCGGAAACCGGCCCTTTCCGGGGAAGAACCGGAAACCGGCCCTTTCCGGGGAAGAACCGGAAACCGGCCCTTTCCGGGGAAGAACCGGAAACCGGCCCTTACCGGGGAAGAACCGGAAACCGGCCCTTTCCGGGGAAGAACCGGAAACCNAACCGGAAACCGGCCCTTTCCGGGGAAGAACCGGAAACCGGCCCTTACCGGGGAAGAACCGGAAACCGGCCCTTTCCGGGGAAGAACCGGAAACCAGCCCTTACCGGGGAGGAACCGGGAACCAGCCCTTACCGGGGAAGAACCGGGAACCAGCCTTTTCCAGGGAAGAACCGGGAATCAGCCCTTACCGGGGAGGAACCGGGAACTAGCCCTTTCCAGGAAAGAACCGGAAACCAGCCCTTACCGGGGAGGAACCGGGAACCAGCCCTTACCGGGGAGGAACCGGGAACCAGCCCTTTCCGGGGAGGAACCGGGAACCAGCCCTTACCGGGGAGGAAACACATGTCAAATGGGGAGTGCTAGGTCAAAGCTAACACCCAGAATTCCCTCTGATCAGGCTTTGGTATGATCCACTTTGTTACCCGCTAGTTCATGACCAGGTTATCCATCCGGTTCATCAGACTGTTACTGGTTGGTTTCTGACCAGGTTGTTGTTTTACTCAGTTAACTACTTAAACAGATTAGTTCTGCAGTATTTTTCATGTCCAGTTCAAACTAAACAGTAATCAAACCCTGAGCAGCTGTGGTGTGGAGGCTGCAGCGCCTGGAAGAAGGTGAGAACAGCAGAGAGGATCATGGGGGCTCCCCTTCCCTCCATTAAAGACATTTCGTGTCCCGAGTCCGTGACATCATCAGCACTGAAATTTTTCATATCAGTGAATTTAAACTGGTTTCTTTTCTCCTACATGGTTTTTATTCTGATCACTGCTGCACTGCGGGAAAGGCCGGATTCGAACCTGCGCCGCCCGCGTTAAGGACTAAGGCCCGGGTCATGTGCGCTAACCACTGCACCACCAAAGCACAGCCTGGGAAACTGTTTTCAGCTCATTGTGGATCTTCATGGTTAAATAAAGGTCATAAAGTCAAATTTTATAGATCAATTAGTGGGTTTTTTCTCAGGTATGTAAATTATTGATTAAATATCCTGAAGCCTTGGCTGCAGGTGCCTGTACCAGTGCGCAGGTGAGCCTCGGCTGCAGGTGCCTGTACCAGGTAGTAATGTTTATTTCTAAAGCACCTTTCACAGACACAGAGGTCACACCGTGATTCACAAAATTACTACTCAAATTAAAATACATTTACAGTCATAAAACCACCATAATCTACTAGAATTAAAATGCAGACAATGCAGAGCAATGAAAGCAGAAGGTGAAGCAGGACACATGGCAGACCTGATGGTCCTCAGTGGGACCATCTGAGCCTTTAGAGCCCAGCAGCAGCTGCAGACTGAGCAGCTTCCAGTGAAGGTTGACTGGGATCAGTAGGACCCAGAAGAGACCCTACGGTTCCACCGAGGAGGCTCCGCTGAACCAGAAACATCCATCTGATCAACTGAGAACAGATCTAGATCACGTAGGTCTGGACTCAGCGGCTTCTTTACTTCCTGTCATCCTGCTGTTCACCAACTAGGCGCCAGAGGGCGCCCGACTGCTCAGTGTCATCATTAAAGCCGCTTTTTTCCTTCACTGCAACATTTTATTTCCCATGGCATGAAGCCGAACCGACACTAGAATCGAGGCGGTTCTGGAACCATCCTCATCTACAGCTGGACCTGCTCCACCGAAACGCGCGGCCCGGAGGAGTAAAACTGCTCCTTATTTCAGAGGAGTTCCGGGGCCGGGCGGCTGTCAGGAAGCAGGAGCAGCTGCTCTCCTTCCCGGCGGGAACTGTCAGAATAAAAACCCGCTTCTAACCACGGAAGAACCAGAACCGGGCCGCGGTTCGTTTACTCACCGAGATTCTGCCGTTAAACGGTGAAATCCACCGGAGCTGGCCGCGACAATAACAGGAAGCCGCCGCCGGGACACGGAGCTCCGAGAGGAAGGATTAAATGGTCCAGACGACCGGAAGAGGGCCTTCAAAATAAGAGCACGGTCAAGTTACTAAAATGATGGATGTTAAAGAAAAGATACAGCAGATAGAAACAGGGATATAGATCCACACTAAGTTCAAAATATTAACATTAATATAAAAGAATAAAAGAACAACATTGTTTCCTGTGACCGAGGAGGCTAGTTTAAAAATGCACCAAAGATAAAAGCTAAACATACTAAACTCTACTAACATGCTAAACAATGCTAATATGCTAAACTCTGTTAACATGCTAACTTCTGCTAACATGCTAAACTATGCTAATATGCTAAACTATGTTAAACTCTGCTAATATGCTAAACTCTTTCAACATGATAAACTCTGCTAATATGCTAAACTATGCTAAAATATTTAACCGTGCTAAACTCTGCTAATATGCTAAACTCTATTAAGATGCTAATCTCTGCTAATATGCTAAACTCTATTAAGATACTAAAATCTGCTAATATGCTATACCCTGAAAACATGCTAAACCCTGATGTTAACATGCTAAACTCTTTTAACATGCTAAATTCTGGTGTTAACATGTTAAAACCTGATGTTAGCATGCTAAACTCTGCTTACATACTAAACTCTGCTAACATGCTAAACTCTACTAACATGCTAAACTCTGCTAACCCGCTAAACACTGCTAATATGCTAAACTCTGTTAACATAATAAACTCTGCTAATATGCTAAACTCTGCCAACATGCTAAACTCTGCAAACACGCTAAACTTTGCTAACATGCTAAACTCTATTAACATGCTAAATTCTGGTGTTAACATGCTAAAACCTGATGTTAGCATGCAAAACTCTGCTAATATGCTAAACTCTGTCAACATGATAAACTCTGCTAATATGCTAAGCTCTGCTAACATGCTAAACTCTATTAACATGCTAAATTCTGGTGTTAACATGTTAAAACCTGATGTTAGCATGTTAAACTCTGCTAACATACTAAACTCTACTAACATGCTAAACTCAGCTAATATGCTAAACTCTGCTAACATGCTAAACTCTGCTAACATGCTAAACCCTGATGTTAACATGCTTAACTGTGATTTCTAAAATCTGGATATGTGACAGACAGGCAGCCTGTCCAGCATGGACCCCATAGTCTGCTGTAGACAGGCACCGATAGCTAACGCTCTTGTCGCTACCCGATCCGTACCGGTAGCACGATCCGTACCATCAGCTCATTTGCGCCTGCGCGAATAGAATAACTTCCGGGTCGCCAAAATTTTTTTTTAAATTCAATCCATTGTATTGCTTGACGTCATTTTTCTGGAATAAAAATACAAATTTTGGGGAAATGTTCCCTTATCAATGAAAGACTGCAGGTCACGAAATGTAGCAAATGAATCCATTGTGGGATCAGTACTGCTGGAGTGCATAGTGAAGTACAGAGTAAATCAAATATTTAAACAAATTTAAATATATACGCTGTGTGACGTATATTTGCGCATGCTCAGAGCAGTCAGTAACTATCACAAGGCGATTGAACTTTATGTATTTCTGTTTTTTTATTTTTAGAAAATGCAATATTGACGAAAATACAAAAGATATACAAACAGAAACCCATGCCTCTAAAAAATACAAAAGAATAAAAAAGTAAGAAAAAGGAAATATTACCACCAGAAGTTATTCTGTTTGCGCACGCGCAAACAGAATAACTTCTAATGGTACGGATCGTGTAATGACACCAGCAAACATCAACAGCTAACAGAGCTGTCATTACCCGATCCGTACCGGAAGCACGATCAATATTGGCGCAAATGAGCTGATGGTATGGATCGTGCTACCGGTACGGATCGGGTAGCGACACCTGGTTCAGTTTTTAATAACTAGCTTAATGTGATAACTTAAGCAAACCCCTGAAAGTGTGTCTTTAAATCAGAGCTGGATCATCCTGTTCCCATCGGTCCCTGTTCCCATCATTAGGTTCTGGATCTGGTTTTGTCTCCAGGAAGGTCAGGCTGCTGAATGGTGTCCCACAGGGCTCAGGTCCAGTCAGGCGCCCCCTGCTGGTCTCATGCTAAGAAAACATGGTGGCACCTTAACCCTAACCTGCTGCCCTGCAGGTCCGAGTCCAAGAACAGAACCAAGGCCTGGAGAACAGGACCACTGAAGAAGGCGGTAAACCCGCCTTAGACCCGCCCATTAGTCCACAGCTGATGACAGATTCATGTCATCACCTGGATGACTGGATCTCTGCAGGTTCTGCAGAACCAGGTCAGAATTTGGGCCGGTTCTGTTAAATCTGGATCACATAAACTCGTTTGGACCGGCCTGTGATTGGCTGACAGGTTCTGCAGGTTGTAGGTTGCCATGGTGATGCCAGCTGTGGGTCCCTCCCTGATGGAACCATAATCCAGATGTTTTCCACCTGAACTGGGTCGGTTCGGTTCGGCAGAATCAATCAAGATGAAGACAAACTATCGGATATAAAGATCACCCCTCCCCGTGCCCTGTGACGTCACCCTACCTAGCCTCACCTGGACAGCAGCTTCCTGCCCCCCCTCAGGCCGGGATGAGGATGTGGAAGGTTAGGCGCGGGGCGCTGCGGGGTCTGAAGCTACCGCACCGTGTTCCGGACGGAGCTCCGATGGCCTCCGGCTGCTTTCCGGTACCTTCTTCAACCAGCAGACCGAACCCGATCCGCCGCCTCCCGCTTCCGAAGCGCCAGCAAGCATTAATGGTTCGGACCCGACTTACGATCCGGAACCGGTTCCGTCGTCCTGGTTCCGTCCGGTCGCCTCTGAGTCACTGGTTCCTGCCGAAGCTCGGTCACATCTCAGTCGCGGAGCGGAGCGGCGCGCCTCCAGCCAAAGTCAATGAGGCGCTGCGGCGGAGAGGCGGCGGCTCCGCGGTGCTTAAAGCGAGCCTGGCTCTGATTGGTCAGGCTCCTGCGCAGCCTCACTCTGATTGGCTGGAATGCTCAAAGGTTAAAGTGTGCTGATAAAACTCGCGAGATGAAGCGTCACTGTCTCAGATTTTCTTCCTGTCTTGTTTTGGTTTTAAAATTTAACTGAAAGCGGTTCCTGTGTAAGGAGTCAGAGAGCAGAACCATTTAGGATTGGTTCTGGTTCTGCTACTTTGGTTCATCCATGTGATGTTCTGGTTCTGATGAAATGCTGCAGGGGTCCAGAAGGTTCTGGGTTCTACTGTGTCTCGAGGTTCTCTGGGACCAGAACCTCTCTGGACCAGTTCTTGTTTCACTGTTGGATCCATCAGACTGATCCGGTCCTGGTGATCCAGGTCCGGGTTCTGATCCCAGAACTGTGGTCGCCCTGGGCCCATCTGGGAAGGGGAGTGGTGGTCCTGCGGGCTGCAGTGGGGCTGAGCGCCCAGCAGGAGGCGCTGTCTGGCTCAGGAACTCCGCAGCAGCTTTGCTCTATCAGGAACCAGCTGGGGGGGGAAGGGGGGATTCATGGGTCCATTTCACACCCAGAACCAAGGTCCCTGCTGAGGAGCCCCCTGATGTCACAGTGATGTCATCGCTGCATATCAGTGGGCTCCTGATGGTGGGTGGGGCCTTAAGCAGGAAGCTTATCAGCACCAGGGGTCCAGCTGGTTCTGATGGATTAAAGGCTCCAGAACATGACCCGGGCCCCCCTCCTCCCCAGCTGCAGAAGCAGAGGAGCCTCTCTGCTGCAGACGCTCCCTGATGGAACCAGAACCTCCTTCAGAGGAGCGTGGGCGGCGGCGGTGATGCATCAGATCTCTCTCCTCTTCCCGTCCAAAGTATGGCTCAATCAGAACCAGAACCTCAATCCGAGCTCCGCCCATCAGAACCACTGATTGGCTGGATGCCTGCCTCAGTAATGCCATCAAAGAATTACCAGACTCAGGATGATGATGTCAGCATCTTTTATTACTGCAGATTATAAATGACATCAAGCCCCGCCCCCAAACAACCAGAGAAAGCACCAATGGCTGCTGACGTGTCCTGGCTAAGCATCCTGGGAAACGGAGTTCCTCCTTCCTCCATCACGTCAGCAGAGGAAAAACAATAAAACACTTCTAGAAACTTTCTATTAAAACTAAAGAGTTGATCTAAAACTACCCCCCCCCCCCCCCACTTTGATAAACCACACCCCCTCTGAGCCGCCCCTTCCTATTGGCTGGAAACATACACTGAGTGATGGGGGCATTTCCTGATCAACATGAGCATAAAGTGACAAAGTTCTGCTACATCCCATCCTGATGATCATGTCTGGATCCTGGTCAGTGGGTGGAGCCTCAGGGTGGTGATGTCACAGGCAGAAGGCGATTATTTGATCAATGCTGCTGTGTGCGGTCATCAGCAATAAAGTGACTTCAGAAGAGAGAGAAGAAGAAACGGCCTCCTCAACGCCACACATCACATCTGGAAGCAGACAGGAAGTGATGTTACAGGCAGGTTCTAGGTGTATTCTAAGCCTGATCTGGATCTGATCAAGACCATCCTAAGCCCGACGCCCAGTGCAGAGCCCCCCCTTACCCGACACCGTGTTGCTAGCCCGTTCTGGTCGTGTTCGTGTTCCTAGTCCGCTCCGGTCGTGTTCCTAGTCCGCTCCGGTCGTGTTCCTAGTCCGCTCCGGTCGTGTTCCTAGTCCGCTCCGGTCGTGTTCCCTAGCCCGCTCCGGTCGTGTTCCCTAGCCCGCTGCGGTCGTGTTCCCTAGCCCGCTGCGGTCGTGTTCCTAGCACGCTTCTGTTGTGTTCCTAGCACGCTTCTGTTGTGTTCCTGTTTCTAGCCCGTCGTGTCGTGTTCCTAGCACGCTTCTGTCGTGTTCCTGTTTGTAGCCCGTCGTGTTCCTAGCCCGCTTCTGTCGTGTTCCTGTTTCTAGCCCGTCGTGTCCTAGCCCGCTGCTGTCGTGTTCCTGTTTCTAGCCCGTCGTGTTCCTAGCCCGCTGCGGTCGTGTTCCTAGTCCGCTCCGGTCGTGTTCCCTAGCCCGCTGCGGTCGTGTTCCTAGCACGCTTCTGTTGTGTTCCTAGCCCGCTTCTGTTGTGTTCCTGTTTCTAGCCCGTCGTGTCGTGTTCCTAGCACGCTTCTGTCGTGTTCCTGTTTGTAGCCCGTCGTGTCCTAGCCCGCTTCTGTCGTGTTCCTGTTTCTAGCCCGTCGTGTTCCTAGCCCGCTGCGGTCGTGTTCCTAGCACGCTTCTGTTGTGTTCCTAGCCCGCTTCAGTTGTGTTCCTGTTTCTAGCCCGTCGTGTTCCTAGCCCGCTTCTGTTGTGTTCCTGTTTCTAGCCCGTCGTGTTCCTAGCCCGCTTCTGTCGTGTTCCTGTTTCTAGCCCGCCGTGTTCCTAGTCCGCTCCGGTCGCGTTCCTGTACCTAGTCCGCTCCGGTCGCGTTCCTGTACCTAGTCCGCTCCGGTCGCGTTCCTGTACCTAGTCCGCTCCGGTCGCGTTCCTGTACCTAGCCCGCTGCGGTCGCGTTCCTGTTCCTAGCCCGTTGCGGTCGCGTTCCTGTTCCTAGTCCGCTCCGGTCGCGTTCCTGTACCTACTCCGCTCCGGTCGTGCTCCTGTTCCTAGCCCATTCTAAGCCCTTTCCAGCCGTTGGCACCTGTCCCTAGCCCATTCAGGAACCCACCTGGACTGCGGACCCATGCAGCCACTGGTTCTTGTCTCCAGTCACCTTCATGCAGGAGAACAGCTCACAGACAGCAGGCAGAACCAGACGTTCCTGCACAGGAAACACAGTGAGGTCACAGGAAGCACAGGTGGACCTGGTTCTGACCCGCTCTCGGTCAGTCTGACCCCTTACCTGGGCCTGATTCCTCTTCTTCAGGAGCCACTTGTCACCTTCCTCTTCCTCTGACGGTCGGACCGGACCTGCTGAGCCCAGCTTCTTGTCAGGAAGCACCCAGAGGTCCGGGTTGAGGGGGTTCTGGAACGGGGTCTGGATCTGGGCGCTGTGCCTCCTCCTCAGCTGCTCCTCCTGCTCAGCACCTCCTTTGCTTGGATGGAGCCAGGCCTCCAGGATGGCCTGAACCTGAGTGGAGCAGAAAGTTAGCCAGCCTGTCATCAGAACCAGTTCAGACGGACCAAGCCGAGCCCTTACCTTCTGCTCCTGCTCCCGGTGGAAGGGAGTGGGCGGGGCATTCTTGCTGACGACCACGCCGTTTTTGTCCCGCCCCTCCTGCTGAAGCAGCCAGCGGCTCAGCGCCTCCTTCCCACAGTTCTCCTCACAGACGCAGTCAGCATAGGAGGAACACGGCTCATTGGCCTTGCAGCTCTGCCTGACCGGCGCCACCTGCTGTAGCCACAGCTCCAGGGCTGCGGCGGGGGCGGGGCCAGGAGTGGGCGGAGTTTTCAGGCACTTGAGCTGGCCCAGGTTCTCGATCTCCACGGCTTTTGTGGTCTGGCAGCAGGAGGAGCAGTCGGCGGGCGCCCGGCCAACCAGCCACTCGCTGGATGACCAGCTCTCATCGAAGGGCTTCATCACACGGCGCCAGCGCTCTGCATCAGTCATCTCCATGGCGACGGTGGGCGGGGTGATCAGCCAGTCGCTCAGCTCCTCCTCCTCCTCCTCAGAAGAGACCAACTCTGACTCGTCAATCTTCTCGATGGAGAACGAGGAGCTGCAGCTGCTGCTGGTCCGCTCCCTGCTGCCCTGGTCCTGGTCCTTCTGGAGCCACGCCTCCAGGTCCCTCAGCTGACCCCAGGCCTTCAGGAAGTCCATGGAGGCCAGGACAGGACAGGAAGTCTGTCAGGAAGACAAATCCAGCTCAGTCAGGTCCACCAGAACCAGCGGTGCCGCTGTGGGACCGGTTTTGGTACCCAGATGTTTATGTTATTATTTTAACTACCCTAGAACAAAGTCTACCAGTCCTTTCAGAACCACTGATCCTGCGGTACCAGAACAAAGGAACGCCTGTAAGGGACACCGCACCGCCGCCCCGGGTCAGAGGTAAGTAGAATCCACTCTAACCCGGCAGAACCGTTTTCAGAACTGCAAGACCAGTGTTCGGGGCTGGTTCTGATTACCTGTTCCCAGAACTCACCTTGTTCTCCTTGTGCTTCAGCAGCCAGTCCTCTGGGTTCCTGCTGGACTGGTAACCAATAAGAGGGCTGCTGGTGGATGGGCGGCTTCCCAGCAGCCAATCACCTAGAGCCGCCTGCTCCGTCCTCTGGAGACACAAAGAACCGGTGAGCAGAACCAGAACCTGGCAGAACCGGGTCAGGAGGAACTGGAGCTGTGAGACAGACTCACCTGTTTGCTGGCAGCGAGGAAACAAGTCTGCGACGGAGGTCCCTGAGGGGCGGGGCCAGGACAGGACACGCCCTCCTCCACCTGGGGAGCAGAACACAGCGGCTCAGAACCAGAACTCCTCCACACTGAGGCACTCTAACAGCAGGGCAGTACCTGGGCGCTGATGCTGCCAAATGAGGTGATGGCCTGCCTCAGGGAGCGAGCGTCGGCATGGAAACGAAGCTCAGGCGTTTCCTCAGGGGTGAGGCTCAGCGAGGTCAACCTGCAGCAGCAGATCACAAAACAAACGCACCCTCTGGTTACACAGAGTGGGTGGAGTCACCAGAGGACACCTGGGGTCCAGTCATCCAGTGTGAGCTCACCTCTCCATGCAGCTGGTCAGCTGGTTGTTCAGGTCGTTGCTGTTGGTGGAGTTCTGCAGCTGGTAGGAGATCACATCAAACTGACCTCTGAGCTGCAAACAGAACCAGAACC